TTCCCATGGGAATGGGATTGGAGTGAGATCCATCCACAGAATTCCCATTGGAATGGGACAACAGTGGGATCCATTCCTGGAATTCCCATGGGAGTTGGATGAATCAGATTCATCCACAGAATTCCCAAAGGAACTCCCGTGTTCCTCAGTTCCATCCTCCCAAATCCCACATTCCCAAATCCCTCATTCCCATGGGAATTCTGTCTCCCTCACCTTTGCGCTCCAGTGCCTCCCGCCCGTATCCAACGTATTTCTGGAGTGCTTCCGAGCAGATGTTCTCCAGGTAATTCCTCAACCACTCCACCGTGATCCCATCAGATTCCCATTTCCTCTTGGTGATCTGGGCAGCTCCATCGGCCGCCACGACGCTCCCGGATCCCAGTTCGAAGGAGATGAAATCCCGCCCATCAAAGCTATACCGATGGGATCCACGGATGCTCCCGTCGGACAGGAGGTCACAGCCATAAACCAGTTGCACCGTGTGTAAACCTGGAGGGTTGGATCAGACCCATGGAAACCCCTGGAATTGGGTCCCAGCCCCATAGAGCCCCATTCCAGCCCTATGGAGCCCCAGAGTCCAATGGAGACCCACAGAGCCTCATCTCAGCCCTTGGAGCACCTTGGATCCAGATTCCAGCCCCGCAGATCCCATCCCAGCCCCTTGGAGTGCCCTGGATCCCCATTCCAGCCCCTTGGAGTGCCCTGGATCCCTATTCCAGCCCCACACATCCCCCCATTCCCCGGCTTCCCCCACTCACCCCCACTCCAGTTGTACCGGCCCCCCACTATCTCCAGGTTGGTGGCATCATCGAGCTGGTTCCCCTCATTGCGCTGGGTCTCTCTATCCCAATATCCCGGCTCGGCTCCGGCCGCCATCCACGGCGTCAGCGGCTCCACCCGGCCCCGCTCGCTGTCGTAGCGCTGGAAGGGGATCCCGTCCATGTGTCCCAACACCATGTATTGAGGGATCCCCGGGCTGGGCTCGGTCACCCCCACGTGCAGGTAACGCAGAGAGTGGAGAACTGGGGGGACACAGAGATTTGGGGGATCTGGGGGTGTCCATGGGTCCAGGAAAGGGGGAACTGGGAGAGCTGGGAGAGCTGGGAAGGGGGTTTGGGGATCCCAGGGAAGTTGGTGCAGGGGGTGTCAGTGCTGGGGTAGGGGGTGCCAGGGCTCCCACTGCACAGGATTGAGGGTTCAAGGAAGTCCCAGCATCAGGGAAAAGGGGGATACAGGGATTGGGAGAGGTGGAATTGGGGGGTCCAAGGGGTCCCTCTGCCCAGCAAAGGGGGCCCAGAGGTCCCCAGGGTTGAGGAAACAGGGTGGGGAGATGTGAGATGGCCGGGAATGGGGGTCCAGGGCGTGCCAGGATCAAGGAAAAGGGGGCATCTGGGAATTGAGAGAGGTGAGATGGTCGGGAAATGGGCTGTAGGGGGGTCTCGGTGCCCAATAAGGGCATGCAGGGGGTCCTGGTCCCAGAGAAGGGGGTTCAGGGAGGTCTGGGTGCTGAATAAGGGGGTCCAGGGGGGTCCTTGTGCCCAGGAATTGAGGTTCAGGGGGATCCCAGGGTCAGGGGAAGGGGGGTGAGGGCACTGGGAGAAGTGGGATGGAGGTTCAGGGAGTCCCTGCACTCAGGAAAGGGGGGTCCAGTGGTCCCCGGTGTTGAGGAAAGTGGGGGCTGGGTGCTGGGAAAGGCGGGAATGGGGGTCCAGGGGGTCTCAGGGTCAAGGAAAAGGGGGCTGTGGGGACTGGGAGAGGCAGGACGGCCGGGAAAGCAGGTGCAGGGGGTGTTGGTGCAGGATAAGGGGGTTCAATTGGGTCCTGGAGCCGGGCATGGGGGTTCAGGAGGATCCCAGTGCCCAGGAATGGGAGTTCAGCGGGGTTCCTTCCCAGGAATGGGGTTCAGGGGGGCTCCCAGTCCCGGGAATGAGGGTTCAGGAGGCCCCAGTGCTGGATAAGAGCATTTAGGGAAGTCCAGCTGCTGGGGTAGAGGGTCCACGGGGGGGTCCCAGTGCCAGGAAATGGGGGCTCAGGGGGGTCCCGGTGCCCAGGAATTGCGGTCAAGGGCGTTCCCGGTGCCTGGGACCCTCTGCAGGAAGCACAGGGAGTGGAGAACTGGGGGGGTCACAGAGATTGGCGGGTTTGGGAGGTTCAAGGTTCAAGGAAAAGGGAGGATCAGGGTGCTGGGAGAGGTGGGATTGTCAGGAAAAAGGACACAGAGGGGTATTTGTTGAGGGTTCAGGGGGGTCCTGGAGCCGGGGATGGAGGTGCAGGGGGTCCTGGTGCAGGATAAGGGGGTTCAGGGGGGTTTCCATACCCAGGAATGGAAAATGGGAGGTCCTGGTGCTGTATAGGGAAGTTTAAGGGGGTCCCGGTGCTGAGGGAGAGGGTGCAGGGGGGTCCCGGTGCCCGGAAATGGAGGTTCAGGGGGGTTCCTGTGCCCGGGAATGGGTGTTCAGAAGGGTCTCCTTCCGGGAATGGGGGCTCAGGGGGTTCCCGTGCCCAGAC